AACTGAGTCAAGCTTCCACCTTGGAACCTGCGAAGATAGTTGGCCTTTCTTTGGCACGCTCAAAATGATCAGGAAGCGGTCACTCCCACAAAGGCTTTTGAGAAGATTCCATTCGAAATTGGCTAAAAGTGATGGTGATGAAATGCTAAGATCTATCAAGGAGTATGAATTGTTTGCGAGGCTAAAATACGTAGGCTCTTTTGTATTTAAGGAACATAACCTAGAAGAATAAAGAAGCTCTTCAATGAGACGTCCTCGAGCGTCACAGCACATTGCAGCGGACGCGAGCGTCACCCCACAGGGAATTGTGTGCGTTAAAGTCACCTAAAATCAAAAAGTGTTCTGGGAGTTCATCTAATAATGATTCCAATCACGCTTTTAAGCTGATGGTGAGGTGCTATATACAGAGAGCAAAAGGTGATGAGTTTGTTAAAAAGTACAGCTCGAATGGCCACTTCCTCAAGGGCTGTCAGGAGCTTCATCTGCTGGCATGCCACACTTTACCAGCTATCATGATGATACGGCAGCATCTTCGCGGCCCTTCCAGAAAGTAGCTATTAGCAGAGAAAGTTCCTGTATTTAGGAGTTAGGTGTGTTTCTTGCACACACAGAACTTTTGGGTTGAACTTACTGAAAAGTTCTTGTACATCACCTAGCTTTCTGAGTAGTGCACTAACATTTAACTAAATGATTTTATCCATTATGAATTAAAAAAAAGTGCTGTGTGTAGAAATGATTGAGATTGGTTAATTTTACAGGGCCTTTGTGAGGCCCTGTAATTAGAGTTTTGTCTTTTTTGAAGCGGTCGACAAGAGGTCGCCGCTCCTTTGGCCCAACTGGCGCCATTTGGATAGAAGTGGTGTTCATAGCCTCCTGTGAGGCACTGTCCAAAGAGCGATTTAAGTGTCGCTTACACATCGCCTCAGTCGATGAAGTCTATGCCATTACCCAGGAGGAGGTTGTTGGGGCCTCCTTGGTCTCCTCATTGTTCTGGCTGGTGCCAGGGCTTGTAGAGGCCACCGGTGCGGACTGGTAGGCTTTGGGCGGGGCAGGGCTGGCTGCTCTCACCAGAGGGGCAGGTGGCTTTGACCTGGGCACCCTAGACGTGGTACAGGTAGCCGCCAAGGGCCATTGTGGTGCCACCCCTCGTTGTACCACTTCAGTGAAGGAAGTTCTCAGTGCGAAAGAAGATGAGACTCACTGTCGTGCTTCACGGAATGCTATAATTTCGTTAACTTTTATGGTGATAATTTTTTTCTCTTTTCCAGGCTTGGCACACTCTGGAGTATGCGGCATGGCTGCCTTTGCAGTTTGCACAGTGAACCTCATCATATTCCCACTCATCAGTACCGTGACCAGTTATGCGGCATTTAGCCCAAGTAAACTGATCTCGGCAGGTGTCCGAGTCGCTGGGATATAAAGCAACGTCTCGGGTTAGGAACGTACGGACGCACACGAAGTTTTACGTAGCCGGTTTTGAGTGTCTGGGGTAGAATGCTTGAATTGAAAGTAAGTATTAAGTGCTTTGTTGCGGTTTCAGTGTTGTTGCGTCTGATTTTTATGCGCTGTACATGTGTTATGCCTTGGTCTTTCCATCCGTCAAAAAGTTCATCTTTGCTTAGTGCCATAAGGTCTTGATCGGACGCTATGCCCTTCACGGTGTTCAGAGTACCATGTGTAGTAATTGATACAGGGATATTTCCAAATGCTACGAGGTGTGAAAGTTTGTTTACTGTTCTTTGTCTTTTATTTCGAGGAAACTGTCCTCACTTGCCATCTTTGTGCCTTAATAGCCGGTCCCAAAGGTGTCTTTTAAGCACTTGGCCACGAAAAAAGGTGATATTGCTCTGGCTTTAGTTGATATTTCTTCACACTGAAGAACATGGTATCTTGGGAAACTTTTAGGGTTTTGGGAGAAAAACAAAGAGGACGCATCGATGCGAAGCCTTTTCAGGGCACGATCGGTTACAGGAGGGTTCTGAGATTCAATGAAAAATGGCTTCTTCTGCAGAAAAATGGCTTCTGTGACAGATACAGGTGTGGTTCCGAAAGAGGTGAGTTTTGAGAGATTTTCGTACTGCGCCTTGCTTTGTACTGCGAGAAGGTTGCCACTAGCCTGATAACGTGTACCGAGGGTATTGTTGAGGCATTTTGATTTTTGAAATGAAGCGATTTTTCTTGAGTTGTTTTGTGTTTCACAGTCAATCACATGGAAGTGCGGAAAGATTTCTCTGTGTTTTAGGAAGACATTCAGCATTCCTTTGGTGCACACTCTGTTAAAGGGAGGGCAATCAGACAGTTTGGGCAATAGAACAGAGGCCATAAAATATATATAAAATAGGCAGCCATGCCAGCTGCCCACCACTGAGCCCTACATAGGGACGCAGCAGTACAATGATAAAAAGGCATGCCAGCACCAGCTGTACAAAGCCACTATAACCCAATATTATGTGACCAAGACAAGGCACATACACAAGGTTAACCCTTGCCACCTGGAAGATGGAAGTAAACAGAAATGAGGAGACGACAGGAAAGATTGAAAGAGAAAAAAGACGGAGATGTAGGAAGAGAGAGATGGGAAAAGGCGACTACCGGTTTCCCGTGGGTGGGTCAGCTCAGGGATGCTGTCTACGTGAAGCTGGGCCAAAAGGGTGTGTTGCCTCTGCCGGGGGGCCTGAAAGATTAAATCACACGGATCCCCCTATACACGGACGCGGCAAAGCCATGCCCCAGGCTAGGCGTGGGAGAGTTCGAAACCCCCCGCTAGCTCGGGTCCGTGGTGTTCCTACACACCAAATGCCTGCTTCCGCAGATGCCCCTGTGGGGAATGAACAGCAAATCAAGACTAGAGATGAGCTACTATATAACAAAGTTATCTTAATAGTAAACCAATAGGGCTCTATACAAATGTAAAAAACTTATGTTCCAGTCATTGAAGTGCGACAGCCAACAGGAGGACCACGAGGAAATTCAGATGCGTTCGCCCTGCCATTGCTAGGCAATTAAGTGAATTTTTTTTATCACGATAGGAATTTTATGGACACTCGACGGGTTTTTGCCATTGCCGCCATGTTTTGCGTAAACTACAAGTTGGTACCACTCCTCATGCATCGTGAGTTTGACCCGCAGGTAAAATTGTGCAAGAGCAGGTCATAAGTGCTACTCAAGCAGAGATTAAACGCGATGACCTATCTATGCCTCTTAAAGGGTGCACGCGTCAGCATCCCACCGCATGTTAAAAATGTCATCAAATGCTCCAGCAGAGAGGAAACATGCTGCCCATCTTCAACAAGCATGAAAAGACGTGCAGGAAACAGAGGGGTTGCTCGATGAGACACAGCCGTGAACATTGATTCTATTCAAGGACGTAGTTGCGATACCTAGAATGCCTCGATGCGCTCGTTCACCTCTGCTCGTGAATCGAGGCACTCTAGCGATAGCTGGCGTGCGCGAGTATCGACAAGCATCAGCGTCCAGCTCGCAAACCGTTCTATGTTGGTGTGCTCTCAACGGGAAGAGATTGTGCGATAAGAGCATTTCTCCTTGGAGTGGACGTACTTATTTTTTCTTACACCAGCGTCTTGTAGTTATCAGTGTCGAGATGTCAGATCCAAAAGAGTTAGCTGTCAGCCTTCCCATTGTCACGAGTTCGTAATGTCAACGAAGGCAGCAGGCGCTGTTTTCATGATTTAACTTTTTATTTAGGCCAACCTGTGCCCGGAAAACGAAATGTCACTCTACAAGCAATACACGCTGCAGACTGATAGCAGTGAACATAGAGCATCGGCCGTTGCATCAGCACTTACACATGTGCCATCGAAGATTCCAGCGTTATTCGCTAGAGGCCGTGTAATCTCATCGAAAGGTTCTAAGATTATCTAGATGGTCACCAGTCATTCGGGTGCAATTTGCTCAAAGTAAAGTTACATGCGTAATGGTGCAGTAGCAAGAATAGAAAGGAGCGCGTGCGCTATGACCACTACAACATTAAGAATTATCCGGTGGCACACACTTTTTTTTCAGCTTATATTGCAAAAAACTCGCCACACCGATGCTGAGCAACTACCGAGCATAGCACGCGCTCGCAGTTGTTCAGCAATGATGCGGCAAGTATTTTGCAGCACCACTGCCGTCTTTAAAATTTGCCTGACAGCTTGGCTGTTAAAATATATGCAGAGTCGCATGATAAGGTATGCACGCAAGCGCCACCTTAACAAGAACCATGCATTATGTTCAGGTGGCGCAAAATTCATGCTGATCCGAAATACGACGTTTGATATGGACACCGTTGCGTCCTTTGTGTAGCCGAAGCGCGTAGCTCGGTCAATGAGGAAACTCTCAACTAAATTTGCCATTGCACGTGCTAATAGCCGTTTAGGCGTGGCTTGGTGCGGTAGGTCAGATTGGCGCATTATGGTGCAATCAGCGTAGCACTTTCACCCTTGAATATTGATTGATTGATAGGTTGGGTTTAACATTCCAAAACCACCATATGATTATGAAAGACGCCGTAGTGGAGGGCCCCGGAAATTTTGACCACCTGAGGTTCTTTAACGTGCACCCAAATCTGAGCACACGGGCCTACAACATTTGTGCCTGCATCGGAAATGCAGCAGAATACTTTAGCCACTAGACCATTGTAGCGGAGTCCACCCTTAGATATGGCATCATTCATATAGGTATAGCTATTTATACAATAACAGTAGATTATTAAAACTTATTGTTCAAATAGCATATGTGATTGCAAATAAAACATTAGTTGCAAGCTAGCAATGTGTGTGTGTCTCTCTTTTGGTGTCCTTGTTGTGATGCTTTATATCCCTATGAATGATGAACCCCAACCGACTAGCCCAGCAATGTGTGTTAAGAAAGATAAGGCAGCAATTCCACCCACAACTGATTACACAGAGAAAGCTTTCAAGGACTTGCTTTTAAGGGCTTGCAGAATAAGCAATAAAAGGATCATGCAAAAAATAACCCGTCAAACATGTGGCACTCACGTGTCATCTTCAGTTTTTTCTTCTGGTACCTCAGATGAATCTTCATCTCCTACCACTCGGTCATCATGCTGGTAAAATGCACCTTTCTTGGGGATGTACTGAGGGTAGCGCTTGTCTTCATCAAAGTCCAAAACTTTATCTTGGAGATCAGAGGGATCAACATTCTCCTGAAAGAAACATCAGGTTCATCTGATTTTACAGGTGGAGCTCACAGAGACCGAAGGAATAATCCTGTACTTTTGCTTTCCAGCTCACACAACTGCCCAGAAGTAGGCTCTACCGTATTTACTTGCATAGTAGGTGCACTGCCACTTTGGTAGAAAGATATCAATTTTTTTTATTTACACGCATAATAGGTGCACCTTGAACTTGGGCATGATCAGTAGTTCTGTCCTGTATCAATACGATTGTATTTTGACCCCCTCTTACATTAATTGAAGCGAGAAGAAAATAAGAAAAAAGACAGTGGCAGCACTGCGCCAGCTTCGCGGGTCGCGCAGTGAGGAAGGGCAGTTGCCTTTGTTTCAGAGTACCTTTGCACCGGCGCGTGGCGTGGCTTCTATCGTTAGAATGGCTGAGTGCCCTACGCATGAAACTTGTGATCGCGTCCTCGTCAAATGCCAATTGAGTTTCTTGTTGAGAAAAGCATTGTCGTCATCACGTTTGCTATCCTCATTAAACGTTCAGCTTTCCAACACATGCTTTCGCCATTGCTGCCAATACCGGAATCGGACAAGCTCAGAGGACTTTTGTCGCCATCTATTTCCTGGCCGCGAACATAAACATTGTGTCATGCACGCTGCTCTTGGATCAGTGCTTGAGTGCCATCTTTTTGACGCCCAATCTTCATGTTGTCTAGTACAAGCTTCCCGACACATGACGGACCGTAGGCTAGGCCTTAATCACTGTCCATGCTTTTTGGTGGCGGTCGCAGGCAATCAAAGGTGTGGTTTTGACCGGAATCAATGTAAGTTGAACACGGTTATATCGAACCCACATATCCCGAATGTTCGAGTATATCGAACTCGCAAGTTATCCCCTTGAAGTTCGTTTGTAAAAGTATGGAAATTCACACTTTGATATCGAGCGGTATTTTTTCCTGTCTTCAGATATATCAAACCCCGCGTGAGCTGGAAGGCACACTTCAGCACTTGCCCCCTCTCTCCCTCGCGATCCTCACGGCTCCACGCGAGAGGTGGATGAAACGCTCGAAAAAGGTAAGGGTGAGAGGGCTCGAACTGCACAATCTCCAATTTGCGAAACGGCTTCTTTTTTTTCTCTTTCTCATGCATTCTCCGCATACTCAGGTGTCGGCTCAGAGAGCGGGAACGAAGGAGCCAACCTCCTCCTCCTTTCCCCTATTACTTTTTGTTCCTCCTTCGCAAGGCTTCATCAGCCAATCACAGCTCACGCTTTTTGCTATTGCCCTCGCAGGTATCCATCAGCCTCGCAAGCACTTTGTTGCTCTCGAGCTATCGCGTCGCCCACGTACCACCGCATGTGCCGCATTTCTCTTTTGCATGCGTGGTGTGCAAAGCCGCTGCGGACTTGAAACGTCGACTTCTCGTATAGCTATGGCCAGTGTCGAGAAGCGCAAAACCCTTGAATTTACAATGAAGTTGAAGGCTATTCTGCGTGTTGAGGCGGGCAGAAAATGTTCGCCCATTGCGGATGACTTCGGGACACCACAAAGCACTGAGTAACCTTGTTGAAAACTAAGGCAGATATCACAGCAAAGGCGGTGCACTTCTGCCCACGGGAATGTAGAAAAGGCACTCTATGTTTGGTTTTTAGAAGCGCACACGAAGAATATTCCGATGGATGGCCCGATGCTGATCGCCAAGGCCAAATGGTTTGCCGCTGCTCTTGGGAAAACAACTTCTCTGAAAACAGCGGGTAGCTTCACCAATTTAAGCAGTGCTACAAAATCTTTGGCAAAACGATTTCTGATGAAAGCGAAGCTGTCAGCAGCCAAGACATCCAGCAGAGGATGACGAAGGAGTGGCTGGAATTCTCCACGAAGTTTTCTCCCGCAGACACCTTTGATGCCTGGCGAGATGTGAAGACGGACACAGTGGCCAATTGTTTCCGCAAGGCAGACTTCGAGATGGTGGAAATTGCAGAAACCAGTGAAGACGAGGAGGAGTGCATAGACGACGCATTTCGCGAATTGTGATATGATCGAGACTAGCGTATTCAACATTTCAAAAACGATGAAGCAGGCAAAGATTAGTGATGATTTTTCACCCAAATTAAACATTCTGTGGCGGAGTGTGTGTGGAATTAGTTGTCATTCTTGAATGCACCTATTGTGGTGATAATCCTCTGCAGGTAAGCTCTCGGGGCCTCAATTTTTTATATTGAAGTTTTCATATATCGAACTTATTTGCAATCTCCTTCGAGTACAATATATCCATGTTCGACTGTACCTCTGTTCAGTGACTCTACTTGAAGTAAATGGGGCTTGGGTGGTGCTTGTAAAACTCAAATAGTGGTTTGCGATTCGATTGACACGTCTTAGATATGAGAAGCGAGCCCATGAAATCAAACGATCAGTACCGTTTAGCGCACAAAATTTCAGTCGTGATAATGCACATATTCGAGGTAGCCTGAAACGTAGTTGGTGAATTTAGGCGAAGGCGTTTTTTCTTTTTGTGTGTGTTTTTTTCTCGCATTCAGTTCATTGGCAATGCAGGTCTATAGATGTTAATTTTTGGACATTTCAATGCACACCACATCGCACACTAAGATTCTCAGACATTTGAGACTGCATGCTTAACATGTTTTGCACTAGTGTAGCCTATGAAGGAAGTTGTTTCGGCTGTAATACGGATATTTGTAAAGTCGGCGACATGTACTTTATGAACAGTCTATACAGTAGTAAGATAATATACAATTTTCAGAGTAAACGTAGTATGACAACAGCTGGCTTCTGGTCAAGCACACGAGCTAATGTCGAACAATAGGAAACATAGACCTAACATGCACAAGAATGTGAAGACACATACTTGTGACTGGCACTTCTTGCCCTAGGTTTGCTGCAACAATAATATCTATTTGTATAATGAAGTATTCATAACTATTTCACAAACAAACATGCATACCACACCTTAGTATGCTGAAAAAGCGAAAAATTTGAGATGACTTAATTGCTTCTCCCAGCACCGTGGAAGTGGCTGAGCATGTGTGATCGGTAAGGAGCACGAGGAATGTGCCACACGTGTGGAGGTTCTAACAACCCTTGTGAAGTTGTTTGCTCCTCTTGGCCCACGTGTTTCACACATAGGCCGCAATTAGGGGTAACAATTACCAAGCGGTAGATGGCGAGGTGCTGTGGGCATTTGTTATCACCACCATGGCTGGTGGGTTTTGGCATGAATGATTGTCTCTTGCAGAGAGACCCCGGTGCACGACACCACAGGCCGTCTGGTGGAGGCCCTTGTGGTGAGTCACGCGTTAGCAACACCGCCTTGTTTGTCATGTTGTTGAGCGTTGTGTAATATTGTGTAAGAGTGTTTAGCATGCCGATCACAAATGATGTTATAATAATTCAGCTGACGATATTGTCGTTTATAAAACAGTTAAATAAATGTGTGTTGTTTTAGTTTGTTCCAACTGTGTCAACTGTGTCTGTGTTCCAAGAGCGTGGCGATCTCCAATTCGAGGTCCCACAAACAATAAAAAGATCTGAAGACATGAGTCCTTGCCACGCTCGTGTACACAATTGGTGATAAAAAGGCCCGTGGTGCCAACCTGAGCTGTGATGTGAAACCTCCTTAGGAAAAGCGAGCATTGTCCTGTGCAGAGCTGAACGAAGAAGGTCAAAGAAGTCGGCTGCACTCTCTCGGCGAAAGCGTCATAAACCCAGATCTGGAGGTAGCAGCATGAGGGTGTCGGAAAGCAGCTGTCGACCTTGGTAGACACTAAGAGACATTCTCTGAACCTGCAGCACCTCGTAACAGCAAATCTAAAGACACCTGTCACTCTTGACCTTCTTAACAGGACGACTGCACCCCACACCAGTCGCTCTTCACCTTCTCAACAAGACGACTGCCACCCACTTGACAGTGACCGGAGTGCCATATTGACGGTTTGGCCATGTGAAGAACGCCGAAGACACAGTTAGGCCTAACCTGTCACAAAACGTCGGACTCAGTTTTGAAAACACTCGCGCTACCTGTCGGAGCCGGTTTATGTAGTGCAAAGTCCAACCCTTTTAAACAGTTTGCTGCGCTACCAGGTGCCACTAGCCTGTGCGAAACAACTAAATATTAAGTGTGTTTATGCATTGAACACTTAGAAAAAGAGCTACGAATTTCTCTCCGCAATTCGGACATGTAGCAGAACCACCATGAAGTGCTTGTTGGACCACTCATCAGAACGACGGTAAAAACAAAAGCAGACGCAACAGGTCTGCACACTAAGAAGAAAGGCCTGAGTTGACACTACTATTACATTGTGAATTGCCATGGACGTAAAGGGCTTCAGTTTTATAGATTTCCGTAGCTGTTGTACGAAACAGAATGACGTGAGCACTGCAAATGGGCCATTACAAACAAGTGCTTGCCTAGAACTCGATGTCATGCGATGCTCGCTTGCACATGCGAGTTGTAGCTCGATGAAATAACAAGCATTTTTTGCACTGTACCTGCAGTTTGCGTAATTTTTTGAAGCGAGGATAGATTGACGGTAAAAGCTTTCCAGGTCCGTAATTTTCAGGAAACAGCATGCCTCAACACCAATGAAAAAAAAAGGGGGAAGGGGGGAGGTTTATAGTGGCCTAAGCACAAACGCTTCCAGGTGGCTCCCTCTGCACTACCCGGTTATGGCCAGGGCAGCGATTAGAGCACTTGTGACAGTTTTTTCGCAGTGCCGCCTGGGCAGACCCTGATGTCTTAAATCAGATTACAAGCAATGGTGACAAGTGGATCATGAGGCGGATGCTGATAGACAGCAACCAGACAACGAGGCTACGTCACTACAAAGCCAACGTCTGAATAGTAAGACGAACGTTCAACGAGTGCGTGACTGTAGGAGAGAAGCAAGACAGAGGCCATCTTGGCTAGTCTAATTAGGGGCTAAAGTACTGAACTTGACTTGAACTGTAGTTAGTTGTTGTTTTGAAATCTAGGGATTTGTAGTGAGCAGGTCGGTCCACTGTTAAAGG